TTTCAGAGATAATGCTGATTTGTGTGGCAAAGATGCTGATTTAATTTAGGTTCAAATAAAGAAAATAGCATTAGGAGGCAGTTCTGGGAAGGGCACCTCTTCTGTACTTTCACATCCATTCCATTCCATCCCCTGCACCTTTCCCCAGCTCTTTAAGATTTCTTCTTAATTTAACATTAGATACGTCATCTCTTTGGGGAATGGAGGTATCGGGGACCTATTTTGGGGATGGAATTGTGATCTCATGGTCATTTCTGTCTCTAACAACTTTTGTCTCTTCCATTCCCTGCTAATTAATTATATACAATAAGTCCATTTTGGATGTGCACCTAAGGGTTCAGAAATTAATCCAAAGGGTATCTAAACTATCTTGACCTCTTGGCTCTGTATACAAAAACTTGGGCTGGAAAACTTAGAACAATTCCTTGAAACATTTCCAGTAGCTTCCATTCCATTTGGGATGGAAATGCTAAAAGAACAGCCTCTGACATGATAATCCTGCTTACATTCTTGATTTAGAAGCAACTGATCCATGCAGAAACGGGGGACAGAAGGGAGAGGTTGCACGGAGAAATGCAAAATTCCAAAAAGTGTATCCAAAGTTTGGATAGAGAATGTTAGCAATCTGTCTGGATCAGCTTACTCATTCCAAATGCTAATCCCTATTGGAGTCACAGACTGTTTGTCTGGTCTTCCCTACTGCAGAAACTGGTTGCAGACATTATCCCCTACACTTTGGAGGTAATGAACACAGTCAAAATCCCTCACTCCAGTGGGCTCAAAGGCATGGGGAGGAAGACAAAAGAGCTAACTTGTCATACACAGTCTTTTCCTGGAAATCTGGGAATCTACAGGTTGTGGAGGTGGAATGGCTAAGCAGGTAACCACTGGGGCATCATCCCTTGGCAAACCCACAAACTTCCCCTCCCAAAGGTTCTTCCAGGGGTTGGGTTGATCTCCTAGCATGGACAGTCAATTGGTGTTTTTCTCTCTGTTGGTGTCTCTCTGTTGGTGTTTTTCTAACAATGCCCCAACCTTGCACAACTGTAAATGGCCGCAACACTGTGAGCTTAAATGTAGATCAGCCACACAACTGGGACAAATACATCAGCTGATCATGTTCAGGGCTGGTCTAGATGACATTACCTCAGCAACCTATCCATGCTAGGACTCCTTTTCCCAGAGTGAGTTTTTCAAAAGTAGACAGCCTTGCAAAAGCATAGTCAGAAATGGAGCATATGTGGCGAGTTCTGTGGGCCTGTGGTGCTTGGGTACCAGGAATATTCTGGGCCCAGGAACCAGCTCCAGCAAAATTTGGGGCCTGATCTCTCCCCAGCCCTGTATGTAGTCCCCATGCACTCCCCCCAGTGCATTCCCTGGCCTGCCTGCCACCTCCAAGCAATTTGAAATGGCCTAGGGGGCCCTGGCACCAGCAACACATTGGGGTGGGGTGGGGTGGGGTGGGTTGTCTCCGCATGCTGTGTCCTTAGAGCGGTGTATGAACACACGCACGCTCTGCCCACAGGGATATAGTAGCAGCCATGCAGCATGAGTGTCCAGAAGCCACTTTAGCCCCACTGTGCTGCTGGTGCTGCACCCCTCACCTAAACTGCCTTCCAATGCCTACACTCTTTACTTCTTCCTGTACCCATATTCCCTCCCAGAGCCCAACCCCTCACTGCCTCCTGCATTCCAATCCCCTGTCCCAGCCCGGAGCCTGCATCCAGCATCCAAACTCCCTCCCAGAGCTTGTGTCCCTCCTCCACCCAATCTCCCTGTTGGGGCCTTAGGCAGGTGGGAAGAGGCAGTTTCAGAGGGGGAGGGGTGTATTCTGGGTACCTCCAAATTTTCTGCAAACCTACTGCCCCTGTGATGGAACAATTCATCGAGAACACCTTTTGCAATTCAAACACCCTGATAAGCAGAAAAACAAAGTTGAGGATATTTCAGCCGTGAGTCATCCTGATTTATAAGACTGAAACATGGTCCCTAACTGTCAAGATAGAAAAGCTGGACACCAATCAGTGTGTGATTCCCTGTGTGTGTTTGAAAACATCAAATGGCTTGAATTCCAGGTGAACTCTAACTAAACATGTCCCATGCTATCAAACAATCGCCTAGCACTAAGATGGTATGGCCATTTTCTCCAAATGCCTACCAATGTCTCTGTGAGGATCATTTTGTACTTTAGCCACATGAAAATAGGATGGAAAAGGCCAACTCCACTATTTCCCCTCTTCCCCTGTGAGGATCCAAACCTTGATGATTGGATGGAGTCAATAGATGATTGGATGGAGTCAACAGATATTTTACCTTATAATGCACCAGTTTTGGGTCAGGACAGGACAATCTTGGATGCACATAAACCAGATAGCAAGAGAACCAACTAAGGCTATGTCTACACTGGCACTTTTGTCAGTATAACTTATGTTGCTCAAGGATGTGAAAAAACCACACCTCGTGTGATACAAGTAACCCTTCTCAGAGGGGGTAGCTGTGTTAATAAGTATCTTCAAAAAGAATGATGGGTTCTGTAGTCCTTAAAGACTAACAGATTTATCTGAGCAGAAGATTTTGTGGGTAGAAACCACTTCATCAGTTGCATGGAATGGAAATCACAGAGGTTAAGTCACAATGACAGAAGTGCTGATGTGGACAGTGCTATATCAGCAGAAGAGCATCTGCCGACATAGCTACTGCCATTTTTGGGAGTCTTTTAATTATTCAGTGGGAGAGCTTTCTCCCATTGGCATAGAGTGGCTACAACTGTGCTGCTGTAAGCTCTGTGGTGTAGGCATAGGCCAGCCTTAGTCAGTATTGGCCTAACTCTGCTTCTATTGTCTTGAGCTCACCATTGACTTGAATGGGAAAAGAGCCAAGTCTGGAGTGCTTTTGGAGAGACCCATTATCTTCCATATTTTATCCCTAACCCCTATTCCTCCAGTATGTGTTCTGGTTGTTCACACGTGAAGTGACAAGTTTACATTAGTGAAAATATGACCCTAACGAGGCTAGCACCCTTTTTCCACCTTTTTGCTGTTCAATTCAATGAGATTTTATTGCCAAGCTCAATGTATATAAAAAAAGACAGATCTCTCTGGCATCTGTCAGAGGTAGCTAAAGTCTGCCAAGCAAAGGGCTATGCATTGTATCTGGGGCAATATCTCATGTCCTTTTGTCATTACTGTCCAATGATTAATTCTAGGTTGCTGTTCACATGAAAATGAACTAGACCGTGACTACACAATATAAAATATAGGGGTTAGCTGATGCTGGAATATAGTTGCATTTGTATTTGTACCTAGCACATTTGGGTTCTGATTCGTCTGGAGCCTTTTGGGCACAACTGCTATAATACTAATAGAGAATTCCCAAGGGCTGCATATTAATATATATTCCAAAAAAAAATGTTGGTTTTGCTTCTTTTCCTACTTTGCCTTTTTCAGAGGAACCTTTGGGAATTTCTATAGAATAACTGGCAGTTTTTCAAAGCTTGCTTTACCTCTACCAGGCCTGTACATGGGGGGATGCGAAGGGTGTGAATGCACCTCCTCCCTCCCACCCACCTTGCTCCTCCATGGTCTCCCCTGGGGCCGATTCTGGTCAGGCTGGGGAAGGCTGAGGCAACATTTTGCCCCAGCCTCCTCCCGTACTTCAGCCGGCAGGGAAAAGGCAGAAGCACATCACCTCTCCCCCTCCCCAGGAAGCGATGTAAGCGGGGTGAGCACTGCAGCAAGGGAGTGAGCTGTGCCTGATGGGTCAGTGCTCACTGGGGAACTCGGGCAGATTTCCCAGTGCTCCGTCTGCAGCAGAACAGCTCTGCAGCCAAAACAAGGCTGGGTCTCGATGTCATTATCTAGTGGGGTGTGTGGGTGGGTGTGTGTGTGTGTGTGAGATTTACACACACACACACACACACACCACTAATTATGATAATCATCCAAAAGTTAAAACACAGTTAACACCATAAAATAATGGTTCTATTGAGTACAACAAACCTACATTTTTGGAAAGTGAAACGTAAGTGAATTAACCTCTCTTTTCTGGACAGCAGGATTCAAATCTTGTCTTGCAAAACACAAGTGAAAAGGTATTTGATTTTATTCCCCTCTTTTGGTCTTACCACAAAAGAGCCACACAAATGACCACAACTGGCTGCTTCCAGGCAAGGGAGGCCCAAAAGTAGGAGAATAGCATCTGTATGGGATTTGCACCTGCATTGTTCCTGCCAGTATTAATTTGGCTCAAACCAGTGATTTTAACCCCACTGTTTATGAAATTCTTTTAAAATAATGCTAAAAAGAAAATTCTTAAGTACCAACCACCCATTCTGATTTTTAAAAAAGCACTTATTCGTTTATGCTATCACATGTTCATTTTTTCCAATTAAGTTTTTCTGGTTTGCCAGGTAACTTAATGGAGAGTAATGACTCCAGCAGCCTTTCTACTATTACTTCATAATAATCCCCAAGCTATATGCTCAGTGTGCTGGTGGAAAGAATTGAACCCTGGGCTGCTATATTCTGATTTGTGCTTTTAAAATACATTTGTAGTTATTAACTATAAATTATGGAAAAGTATGTTGCCAAGAGATTTTTCTGGATTTTAATGCAATTTGTCTTATATTTTGTCTTTGAATCTTCATGCATAGTTCCAAAAAAGCAAACCTGGCATACCTTAAAAAAGCCAAGTACAGATCAGGCTGGCTAGAGAGGAGTGGCAGAACTGGCCTGAACATGCACTTAGCTCCCAGGATCTCCTCAATACAAGGCAATAGCAAGTTTTCTAAAAATAATTCTGCAGCATACATGAGGTTGGCAGTAAACAATTCTGTCCGTACTTATAATACAGCCAATACCTGAATGAGTTATAAACAACATTCTTTTGATGTTGAAAATACTGCCTATGTTGTTTTGGAGCACAACAAATTACATTTGAAAAAACTGGACAAAGAAACCAAAGCTCTCAGAATGTAATTAGATACCGAAAAAGCAAAATACCTGAATCTGAAATCATTGGGTATACAGTAGCCCATATGGTAATCACCTCGGGTCTTTGCTATTTGTTTTTGAAGGTCTTTAGCTGAGTTGCTATATCCATTGAAAATATAATTGGCAAAGAGCAGCTTTCCTTGAATATACATCTGTCAAGAAACACAGAAAAAGTTCAGAATATTAAAATAGGAACAGCCATCTGTTATTTAAATTAGGTCAAGGAACTGAAAAGAATGACACTGAAGTAGCCTAGCTTTTTCCATGGATAGTTTCTTTGAGCTTTGGCCTTACATTATTTTCTTTAAAATGTCATACTTCTGAAGTGTCTCAGAGACAGGATCTCATTCCCATGCATAGAGGACAACATTCTGTAGGGTGCTCCATGAACTAACACAACAGATAACCTGCCCTGAGGACATTGCAATCTGGATTAGGTAAAGTATAATATGGCATAAGGAAAGTAGTGTGAATGGGAGGTGAATGGGCACAATAAAATGTCATGAGGGTACTTGGTTTTGCATTGTACCTACCGTGTTAGTTCAGTGTTTTAACAAACGTTTTTGGAGATGATAGGAATGTGCCTCCTTTCCCCCGACCTTTTACAAATGTTAATGAAGCCTTACACTACACTCATCAGGTAAATATTATACCCCATCTGGAATTTAGATAGGTAAGTGATTTGACAAAGGTCACACAATAAATGCTTTAGACTTGCAGGATTTAGACTGCACTTCTGCTTCACAGACACACTGATTCAGGCATAAACTAAGTCTTTTGGACTCATCTCTCCTTGACAGTTAATACACGAAACTAAAGATAATTAGAGCTGTTCAAAAAGAAAAAAAATACAGTATTGTTTTGCAAAACGTTTAAAAATGTGTACAGGTACTTATATTCAATTATGAAATATTCTAATCTGAATAATTTTTTATTCTTTTGTAACTTTGTAACATTTATTGAAAACATCAAAAGTGTTATCAAAATGACTGTGAACAATTTGTATTTACCAAAAGTTCAGGGGTATTCAGCATTTATTGAAAAAATTCAGGGTTTTGATAAATGAAAAATACAGATAACATTTGTGTTAAAGTTTTCTGTTAAAAAATTACACCAATTTACATGAAAAAAGACATTGCATATATAAAAAATACAATATAATTTATCATATATTTGCAAAGTTTATATATAAACATTTTCACACAAATATTTGTTTGCATATATATAAACATTTTGCAAACAAATATTTTTGTAAAAAGGCTAATTTTTCTTTGAAAAATATGATTACTGGATTTTCTTCATTTTGTGCTCAAACCAAGGTTTGTTTATTTGAAATGTAACCAGTGCAAAGCACAGCACAAGACACTACTTACAATGGATAAATGGGAGAAACCCTTGGTAATCTCAGGTATTTTTAAGTTCATAGGTGAAAGCAGATATAATGATATTGTGTCACCCATTTGTGAGTTTGACACATTTTTCTTTCAATCAAAAAGCTTGTAGTATTGATACCATGAAGGATTCTTTTTTAGCAGAAATCACTGTTGAGAGGGTCACTCTTCACACACATGGATTTGGAAGCCTAAGCACAGAATTATTCTTGTAGTTGAGCAATATTGCAGTGTCATACCTCACACTGATGCTTCTCTATGTTTCAGGAACTGCAGGGGTTAAGCAGCCCAAGTTTTGTAACCAAAGGAACTCCCATTCCCTCTGGTAATCCTCTCTCATCTTTAACTCTTTGGCCATTATGTGTGTGAGCAAGGGAATAGCAACAATGCTCCACCTCAAGCACTGATTGCAAGACTAAATGCAAACCAATGGGATCCTATTTCTCTTGGAGAAATCTGAGTCAAACTCTTCATGCATGTTTTGCCTCTGATATCCTGAAAAATAACATGACTCTCTCTTATGAAAAGGTACACCAAGTCCAGGCCAGGGTGTTAGGAGGAGCAAAACAACATATATGTTTTTCTCTTAGCAGTCCAAAGTGCTCTTGTAGTAATTTGCATCTCGTAACTGAAACTGCACTCCAGCCAATGCTCTGAAGATTTGTCAGGATACAGGGGACGACAGCCTTGATGTTGTCTACATCTCACTATCCCTAGTCAGCCTTTACCTGATTCTTCTCCACTAGACTGCAATCAACCTTTTCATTTCCAATGGACTCCCTCTCATAGTTCATGCAAGAAGATGATTAAATTACCTAAAATAGGCTAACCTGTTCTTTTTATATTGCTTTCTCCCATCTTCATAGAATACTAGGACTGGAAGGGACCTCGAGAGGTCATCGAGTCCAGTCCCCTGCCCCCATGGGGGCACTACTGATTCCCACATCAATTTGTTTGCTTTTTCTCTTCCAGTCTGTGGCTTCTCTAGCTTTCCTCCTCTCTTTCTCTACTCAGTCTTCTGTGGTGTACATATTTCAGTCTTTTCCCTATACTTTCTTTTCATCCCTGTTTTTTTTTTTTCTTTTCACGGCCCTATGTTTCTGCCACCAACTTCTCCATCCCTCTCCTATGTATGTCTCACCTACTCCTTCCTCTGTCCCTCATGTCTTTCTGCCAACCTATCTACGTAGGCTTTTACTATCAGAGCATTATCCTTTTCACACCTCTCCATTCCCTCATTCCACTTACAGTTCTTTCTTTAGCTCTCCCTGTTCCTATCCCAACATGCCCCAGCAGACTTCATCCATCCTGTACCCAGAGTATATGTCTTGCACCGAGGCTGGGAATGCATGCATGCTTCCACATACGGCAGTATGGCTTCTGCTTTCTCTCACTCTTGGGATCCTCAGTGCAAATTCTTGAGTTGGTCTCTTCCTGCTATTGCAAGCCCTGAGGTAATGCAGGCACCTATCACTACCAAGTCCACTGTCTTTGTGTGGGAGCAGGCCTCCTTTGACATTGGCTGGAATTAGTCATTAAAGCAGCAACTCCACAAGGAACTATAAGCATTTTCATTCTGCCAAAAACTCTATATCACTTACAGTGGCTCATTTAAAATTCTGACTCTGTCTAGGGCAGGTAAAAATATAAGAAACATGGAAAGTACCTACAGAAGCAGTCTGCTAGGTTAAATTGTCCATCCCCCTTGCACTGCAGTACTGAGCTCCACAGTCCTTTCTGGAAGACTCATGTCACATAAAAAGTCATATTGGGGCCTACAGGCTCAGCAGGCCAAGGATGGAAGTTTCCATCTCTGCTGTACCCAGCTTAGCATAACCTGGGACTCTGCAAGTGCAAACAGCAGTTGGGATTTATCAGCTTTAATCCATGCCTTGAGCTGGGAAACTACTAAGCAGTAAATAAGTTTGACCTCAATCTCAGCTCATAAGAGCAATAAGAATGGTGTTGGGCCAGTACATGCACACCCGTAAACAACTATAATATAATTAGTGTAGGGAGTCCTGTGCCCAGTGAGTCTCACCTCGGTGGGTGCCCTGGATTCCCCCAGCTGGAGCCACGTCCACTGCAGCCTGGTGCGAGGTGACAGGAACGGGACTCCCCTCAGACTGAAGGGGCGTAAGTATTTCCAAGTGCCTGTTGCTCACTTTTATGCATTACTCTGCTTATGCTTATTGAGGTATTACATTGCAGTAGCTGTGTAACCATTTGTCAGTATTAAGCCTGTAATAGTAGTGATGTAGTAAGATTACTAAAAGCATCTATCCCTGATTGCCTCTGTTGTGAAGTGAATCTACAACCCTGTTGGGCCTTGGCCCTGTGAGTTGACAACTAAAAAGAACAATCAGATGCTCTGCTACAGGTGCATGTTTTCCTGAAGCACATCAAAACAAGCATTCCACTGGTTCCAGTATGCTGCCTCTGGCAGTGACCATAACTGATGCTTTAGAGGAATGCAACTCCCCTGTCTCCCCTCTCCTCCTCCCCCCGCAGTAATATACTTGGCAGGTTGTGCAATGCTAAGACATGGGAGAATTTCATCCCTCACACAAAAGCAATCCATTAGAGTCTTCAAACATCAAGTTTGTGTGCGCTTGTCATGTCTGAATCCATAAGCACAATGTTACTGGTCAAAATGATTCAATTGTTTTCAAAATCTTGGGCTTTTTGTTGCCTCGTGGGTGATGTTGCATGTGATTTTTCTCTGGCTGGCTATATGTGGAGGAAGTAAGGATTTCCAGGATTTGTCTTAAATGTGCTATCTTTCAAATCTATGTCCCTTTATGATCTCCAAGTAGAAAAAACGAAGGAGTGTCTATCTCCTTGAGCTGGAGCAGCCAGAACACTGGGACTCCATAGAAGCAATGCTGCTCAACCATGAATTTTAGAGTGTCAATAAATGTTAATGGGAATAGCTCTGCTGATTTATGCTACCTAAGAATCAAAGTCTGAATCTTCCCTGAAAAATGAAGTGTCCACCAAATAAATCACAATGGAGGGAGAATAACTTGCTGAGTATTGATGGAGACGATGAGAAGTTTTGGGAAGATGTTTTTTTTTTTTTCTTCAGTGTTCCAAACATAGCTCTGGCAACTGAATTGCCTGAAAGGAGAAAAATGCCCTTGAACTGAAATTCCAAAGCAAGGCATAATGCACAAGTCAGAGCAAACAGGAGTATCTTCTTTTTTTGTTTCCTTCTTTTCTTCTCCCTAATTTTACCCAATTTAAAAGGTCAAAGGTGAGCCTCAATATTTAAAAAAGCAATACTGTGTGTCAAAAACATAGAAACAAGCTGAAATACAAAGTGTTTTATTTGTGATTGTGAGTTTGTTTGTTAAATATTGTGTGTCTCCCTATCAATTCCTCTTCATCTTTTGGAGCTTTGATTTCTCCCCACCCCCAACAGAGCCATTAAGCTACAAAAATAGCAGTGAACTTCCCTTATTACTTCCCTTCTATATTTTCTGCATCTCTCAAAGCTGATGAAAGGATTAAAAGTGTTTTTTATTCTCATCACCAGTTTTTTCTTCCCCATTTGTTTTGTGTAAGAAATGCAGTTGCTCCCCTGACTGAAGGTACATGTACACTAGCCCCCTAGTTTGAACTAGGGAGGCTAATGAGGACGACCGAAATTGCAAATGAAGCACAGGATTTAAATATCCCGCGCTTCATTAGCATGTTCCCGGGCGGTCGCCATTTTGGAAATGGACTAGCCCGGAATAACTGCCTGCGTCTACACGCAGCAGAGAAGTGCGTGTATGAGGTTTAACTGTCATATGAGGTTTAACTGTTAATTCAAACTAAGGGGTCTATCTTGGAATAACGCTTCTCTGCCGCGTGTAGACTCAGGCAGTTATTCCGGGCTAGTCAGTTTCCAAAATGGCGACCGCCCGGGAACATGCTAATGAAGCGCGGGATATTTAAATCCCGCGCTTCATTTGCAATTTTGGTCGCCCTCATTAGCCTCCCTAGTTCGAACTAGGGGGCTAATGTAGACGTACCCTGATTTCTTTTTTCTGTCTAGCATTTGAGATAATTAGCAAACGCCCAAAGTTTACTACTCAAAACACATTGTCAAACATTGTCTACTTCCACTAAAGGAAGTTGTTCAGCAAACATTTCTTAAAATCTCTGAAATGTTCTCCAGAGTTCAAGCAAAGTTAACGGAAGCTTCACCATCTGTGTGGATTTTGTAATAAAGCTCCTTTCCTGGGCATACTATCAGCAAGAAGTTGTGGTACATCTGCTAAGGATCAGTGGTGTCTAGAAAGCTTAGGAATGGACCCAAGGACTTTGAGTGCCATGGCTTCACAACATCGGAGATTGATCTCCACAGTGACAGTCTCATGGTAAATGGAAACAAGGCCTGAGATCTGGTCAAAGGTCTCATGGAGAATATTTACATTTCTGTGGCATAGCTGTGGTCACATTTCCTCTTCTCCTAAATTGCCACCAGTCTTTTTGGCAGATTATCCTGCACTACTGACTCAGCATGGAAAATTACATGGTTCTTCCTATAAGGAACCATCAACTTATTTCTTAAAATCAATTGATTCAAGGTGCTTTGAATGCTTCCATGGGAATATTAAGGAAGGCACCATCTGTATGGATTGGGTTTTGTGCAGTTTTATTTTTTAAGGTTTTGGGTATGATTACATCTCTTTTATGGTTGATTTGTTTTCCCAGTGGAAAAACACTGGGATTGTTATTGAAATGGACTGTTAATATCTTCTTTCAGAAAGCCAGACTGCCAGCCATACCTAAACATGAAGACGTTAGGTCCTTGTTTAAGAAAACATCTCTGGACATTAACAAAGTTGCTAATTACCATTCTATTTCTAGGAAGAATAATCAAGGCCATACAAGTAGACCAATTCCAGTTGCATTTGGACTCCATGTACTACCTTTATCTCTATCAGACCTGACTATAGAATTGATACTGAACACATGGTGGTGAGTCATTTTTCTAGGATTAGGGGAAATTTCTAGGATTAGGGGGAGATTGACCACTGCAGTATATTCATTGTCTGCATGTTCTAAATGACTGCTAATGTCAGGTAAATTCACAAACTGCTGTAAACATCTCATTTAGCATTAATCATAAAGCTTTACGTTATCCTCTTAACTGTTTTCATATTCATTAAACTACTTCCATATGGAAATGAAAAACAGTGATATGGAACAGAATCAAAACATCTCTGTGTAGCTGGCTAGCATCTTTACTCAGCACTGTTGCAGCAGCGCTCATCCGTAGCCCAAGTTGCTGGGTCATTCAGACCGAGGGGTTTCATCACACATGATTTTTCTGTTGGCATGTGAGTTGATGCCAAAGGAATTACACACTGTGCTCAACTACCTTGTATTGTCTCCTTTTCCACTCACCAAGAAATGGCCATATCAATTTATTTCCATTAGCTCTGTAAATGTAAAGAGGGCTTTTGTTTTTTCTACTTTTTAAACATATAATTAATCTGACAAATTTACCCTTCACCATCAAGGAGGAAGTTAACATATAGTATTCAAAATACTACATGTGGCAGTAATGTGTAGAGAAATGAAATGTCAAACATTACATTTTATTTTCTGTAGACACAGCGCTTTCTGCAGTTTTAGATGCAATCCAGTAATTTTAAAACCAATGAGTAGTCCTATGGTACCTCAGAGACCACAAAAGCTCATGATACTACATATACTTTTTGCTAGTCTCTAAGGTGTCACAGGACTACTCTTTTTTAAAGTTATAGACTAATGCGGCTACCCCTCTGAGTCCAATAACTTTGTGTGGCTCGATAGTGTCACCCAGTGGACAGATAAGTTGATCACAGATGGGCATATTAATGCGGATTTTTTTCCGTTTTATTTCAAAACTAATAATTGGCTTCTTGCTGATGGGAACAGTTTCTAATGTTGTTGTTCTTAGGAATGGAGAATACATTAAAAGCTCCTATATTCTGATTGCCATAGCAATTGCAGAAAATTCATATTGAGAAAATGCAGGAAATGATTATTGTTGCTCTCTCTCAGTAATAGATTTACAGGACATAACCACTATGTCCTTAATGGAGAATTTTGTTGTTAGAATAAAGAAACAAAGAACAGCTAAAAGACAAACACCATTTGTGGTATTACTTACATGTAGATTCAGGGACTAAGTTTTATCCCATTGTAATAATAATGGAGTGCAGTTCAACACTATTTATTCATCCTTAGCCAAGTATTGCATAGGACTAAAAGGCTGAAGAATCAACTCTCTGTATAGTTTTTATAACTATTGCTGAGTTATAACATTTATTATTTTGGCCAGATCTTTGCATCAGTCACTCAGGTATTAAGGATTAGTATGTCTTCTACCTGGGGTTGTAACAAATCCAAACCTTGCACAATACTATACACCTAAAACTAGCCACTGTGCATGTTTGATTTAAATAAGATTTTGAACAAGATTGGAAGGTCATGCATTTCCTCTTGCTAAAGATGGAGACACTGTGTTTAATTCACCTTCAAAGGTTTTTTGCAGTACATGAAATGGAGCCATGTTAACAGAAACATGATGAAAACTAATGGCTGAAACTGAAAAAGAAACCTGGTTCATATTCTAAAGAACTGGCTAGTGGCATGTATACAGCCCTCCTCTGCTATGCAGTATGAGAATACTGCAATATGTATTGTAAGACCTGTGTTGTGAATAGCTAAGATCAAGGCATGAGAGTAACAGGGCCCAGGACTTCTGAAGAAAGGCTATTCTGGATACTGCTATGAGGGTCTGAACAGACACAATGTACAACATGGTGACAATTGGAAGTCCTGGGCTTGTTCCAATAGAGTGGCAAAATCATCAAAAGTAAAATATTTAGCTGTACGTGTAGATAGTGGTAACAGTTTTAACATACCAAAAACATGCCAGGAGCAACATTATGCCTTTGCACCAGTAATGAACCTTTATGACCTGTAAATTCGTCTGTATAGTTGATGTCATATTTGAGGAGACGATAGGAATCCAGGCGACCCTGAAGCAACATAGGAAGTGCAATTACAGAAATATGTAGGCTATAAATCTTACTCTACCAATCATCAGTGCACTATATTCCCTCTGCACAAGGCCTAATGAGTTAAACTGAACTAATTATCTTCTTCTTTGTGGCTGAGGCAGGCAGCTGTTCTGAGCACACTTGTTTTTGGAGACAGTATTCATAATTGTTGGATTTCTCTTTGTGGAATAATTTGTCACTTCTTCAAAGAAGCCATACCTGTAAGTTTTAAAAATCTAGTGCTTATGAAAGGAGAGAGGGCAACTAGCTATGGTGCAAGCTTCCTATTTAGTTCTCAGTGTACTGTTCTTGGATAGGAAACACAATACCCCATTTTTAAAGATGGCGCAGGGGGGCTTTGAACCCAGGTCTCCAGAATGGACGAGCAGTGTGTGTACATAAATACACCTGTACAATGAAGACCTCTCCCACATGTATGGTGCACACTCTGACATGAGATTGTTAAGCAGATACTTTAGAGTGGTGCCAGTTCTACTCCTTTTCATAGACTGGAAGTATTACATTTGTGTTTCATGCAGCCTCCACTTTTAAACTTGAAGCAAAATCCTGTTCCCACTTAAGTGAAAGGGAGTTCTATTGACTTCAGAGGGGCCAGAATTTCACCTCTTCTATTCTATGTTTTTCCAGATATAGATTAATTAAAATTGATATACACTATAAGGCCAGTTTCTGAGGGGTTTTAATTTATACATCAGTAAGGACTTGTTCAGGTGTTTAAACTGATGTTATGTACACATCAATCAAGACAGCAGGTATGTGGGATTTTTTTAAAATCCTCCCAGTCTTCTTCCAGCACTTCAGCAACTCCAATAATGGTAGGAAGCACTGGTGTAGCTCATTCACTGGCATTTATTTGTACCCTCATGCCATTTAAGACTAGATAACACGATAAAAACATCTGGGTCAGATTTCTGCTAGTGCTTTATTCCCAGCATTGCTGGGAAAATATTTCAGTACGGACAAGGCCCTAGGGTTTGGGAGAAAAATGATGCAAGAAACACAGCAATAAAGTATGTAAGTTGAAGTAACCTCCACTGACTATTCTGTCTCCAACTTTTAACTTTCATCTTTTTAAGTCCCTTTGTAAGTTTCAACACAGAGTTGCTCCTGCCCACTTTGTGACATGTACTTTATACCATATTAAACTTAACCCTGTACATGTGAAGAGAAAGTCTTTATTTTAATTGTCTACTCAGTGTTCATGCAGCCATGCAAATGTATTGAGTACACAAATGGTGAGAGTACTGTCCAGCATGCCTGTGGCAGCAATTCAAAGCCCTGGATGTAACAGTCAATGGGCCCCCAATGCACACGCAAGTTGCGCCCACAGGGCAGTGTTGCATCTGGGCTGACTGGTGCGCTCTTCCAGCACATCCAAGGCCCCAAATTGCTTCCCTAGTAGCCTTGCTAACTGTGCAAACCCAAAGACCCTAAGAGAGTTGCCACCCTGACTCACCCTTTCTCTGAGGCCATGCCCCTGTTCCACCCTGCGCTCACTCTATCCCGCATCCCTCTGTTGCTCACTCTCCCCCACACATATTCATCATCACCTGGCTTAGGGAGGGGCTTGGGGTGCAGGATAGGGTTTGCATGCAGGCCCTGAGAGGGAGTTATAGTGTTGGAGTGGGAGTTTGTGTGCAGAAGTGGGTGCAGGTTCTGGGAAGGTGTTGTGGTGTGGGAGGGGGTGCAGGTTCTGCACTGAGGCAGCGGGTTAGGGTTCAGGAGGGGGGTCAGGTAGTTAGCACTTACCTTACGAGGCTCCCAAAAACAACTGGAATGCCCCTCTGGCAGCGGCTCCTAGGCAAGGGAGTAAAGGGGAGCCTCTGCTGTGCGCTGCTGCCCACAGGCTCCACCCTTTCAGCTCCCAGTGGCCATAGTTCCCAGCCAGTGGGAGCAGCCGAGTCAGCGCTTGGCTCAGAGGCAGCACACAGAGACCCCTCCCCTGGGGCCATAGGGAGAGTGTCATCTGCTTCCAGGAGCTGTACGGAGCGAGAATGAGCAGGAAACCTGCCTTACTCCCTCTGTGCTGCTAGCAGCAGCCAGGGGCCTCCAGACTGTTTTCAATCACTCATATAAGAAGTTGTTCCCTTTGCCCACCTGTGTCAGCGGGCCTGCTGTTCAGATTTTGGTGACAGGATAAACAGCAAATAGATCCAAGTGTTGCTTTTTTAAAACAATTTTTCTTATGAGAAGCTAGATAAATTCATGGAGGTTAGGTCCATAAAAGGCTATTAGCCAGGGGATAAAATGGTGTCCTTGGCCTCTGTTTGTCGGAGGCTTGAGAGGGATGGCAGAAAACAAATCGCTTGATCACTGTCTTCGGTCCACCCTCTCTGGGGCACGTGGTGGTGGCCACTGTTGGCAGACAGGCTACTGGGCTAGATGGACCTTTGGTCTGACCCAGTACGGCCATTCTTATGTTCTTACGGTCTCAATTTTCAGACATGCTAAACTCAAATGAAACCTACCTGCATACATGGCATACTTCTGTTCCTGTTCTTTCTCTCATAGAGCTGCTCTAATTTGTCTTCACTTGGATCCTCATTCGTTTTCAGTGATGAAGACACACAGACCACCATGATTTGTTCCTGGGCAGACATCTGGTTGTTAATAAGGTGATCATACTCCAGGTCTGATACATATGGAATCTGATGATTACTACATCTGCATATCTTTCCTTCCTGCCCCACCAGCATTCTCCGAAGGACAGCAGGGCAAGCACTATGGGATGTAAGCCATAATTTATCACTGTCATGAGGAATAGAAAACAGAGGGGAAAGGAATTAGACGGCAAGCAAGGCTTTGGTCCTAAAGTGAAAACAGAAGCAAGTTAAATAGAATGTCAAATAAACTGACTACAGCAACCAGCATCTTTTAAACCACAATCTCTAAACACCAGGGTCAAACCAGAATTTTCTGAACTCTGATTAGGCAGAGTACACAGCTCACGGAAGGGCTGACATTGCCAGAGATGTGAGCAAAGCTCTGTGGCTGCAGTGTTCTTCAATTGTGCCAAAACAGAGCTGCTGAGCTAGCCAGATGGGAAAGCTGGATGGTTCACTCCCTAACTGGATGAGCTGGCCAAGCAGGCTTTGAAAATTGATCAGTGCTAAATTCAGACGCTGAAGTGTGCTGGCCTGGCTCACTGGCTTTCTGCAGGTCTCACATGCACCTCGTGCCTTTAGACAGACAGCTGTGGTGCATTTATGGTTTCATCACTTAGTCACAGAAGTTAAGCATAGATCATGTGGGTATTAGTGTTACTGCTCTCCCAAAGGTAGTGTGTTGTTTAGATCATGTTTGAAAAGGCCTTGAATGAGATGTGCTGTAGAATTGCAAAGCTATCATCCTATATCTTGGGCAAATGCCAATGTACTGTTTCACTGCAGGCTTGCACATGACTGCAGTAAAAGAGAACCAGACACTCCCACTTTACAGGGGGCAAATCTTTTCTAAGGCTGGTGCAGGCATCAAGAAGAATTTTGAAGGTTATGGGCTGGATCTACAGTCCATTGATGTTAATGGCAAGCCTCCTGTTGTTATCTGAGGGTGTTGGATTAGGCCCATATGTGAGTGTACCAAGAGTAAGGAATTGCAAAGAAAAAGAGCTCTGAGTAAAAGTTGGCTTGAATCCAATACATTTATCTTATATATTGTATGGTATAGGGAGTGGAAGGAAAAAAAGACTATGACAAAATAAAGGCTTGATTTTTAGGAAAATAATAGAAGACTAAGAAATAGGTGTGAAGGAGGGTCAAGAGAAGAGGTGATCTTGTATACAGGAGGAAGACAATAGACATTAGTTTTAATTGATATATAAGATAGATATAAAACAAGGAATTCCACATCGGCATTCTACATTAAAAAATAAACCACTTGAGATTTGGTGTCATGGTTCATGGTTATAGAATCATAAAATGCTAGAACTGGAAGACACCCCGAGAGGTTATTGAGTCCAATCCCCTACCCTCAAGGCAGGACCAGGCACTGTGTAGATCAGTGATCCCCAATGTGGTGCCCGATGGAGCATTTATGTGCGCCTGCCTAGTGACCAGGGCTGGCCTGAGCCATTCTTGTGCTCCGGGCCCCGGGTGTGTGGTGCATGAGTGGCCCTTGCCCTGTGCGTGCAGCACATGTGCGATGCCGCCCCCGGGTGCCCGGCAACCCCAAAAGGTTGGGGACCACTGGTGTAGATCATCCCTGAGGCTGCATCTATACTGCACCCTTCTTCTGCAAAAGCTTATGCAAATGAAGCGCAGAGTAGAATATCGCTGTGCTTCATTTGTATAATTAATTAGGGTCAATTTTTGTGCAAGAGGCTGTGTAGACAGCTCCTTTTTGCACAAAACCCCTCTCTTGCACAAGAGCCATTCTTTCTGAAAAAATGAGGGGTCCTGCAGGACCTTAGAGATTAACAAAAGAATGTAGATGGTATCATGAGCTTTTGTGGGCACAACCCACTTATTCTGTGTTATTCTTTTACTTCAGCGTTTCCTAAACTATGGGCCGCGGCCCAGTACCGGGCTGCGGGAAAAAAATACCAGGTCTCAGCGTGGCTGCCAGGAGGGGAGCAAGGCGGGGCGGGCTGGGAGGAGGTGTGTGTATGTGGGAGGGGGGGGAACTGGCCACCAGGAAGCAGGGTTGGGGGCAGCAGGGCTGTTCCACAGAGTTTGGGGCTGGAGGGCGGCCGGCGGAAGCAGGGTTAGGGGTAGCGGGGCTGTCCGGCGGAGATCCGGGTGGGCAGGCAGGCGGCGGCGGAACCAGAGCTGAACGGGGGAGATCAGGAGGAGGAGGACTGGAGAATCACCCTTTGGAAGCACGGCTGGATGGGGGCAGCAGGGCTGGTGGAAGGGGGGGTCAACTGGGGAAGTGGGGAAATGGGTGTGGGGGAACTGGCCGTCGGAAGCAAGGCTGGACTGGGGAGATCGGGAGGAGAAGGGAAGGGGAGAAGTTCTGACCCAGGCACATATAGACCCAGGCACACGAGTGAGTCTGGCCCTGGGGATTCCATTTCCCCCCCCACCCTCACTCCCATTCCCTCCCTCGAGTAGTTGCAAACGGCCTGGCTGATAGACACACTCACGCAGCCTGAGCTCATCTACCAGCCAGGCAGTTCGCAGCTATGGACTGATACACCTAATTATAATAAAACTTACCTAATTAGAGAATACTGGACATTTTATCTGTCCGGTATTTTCTCAATTTGTTTCCCAGACAGAACCCTCAAATACCGGACTATCTGGTACAAAACTGGACACCTGGCAACCCTATCCTTCCTTGCACCCTCCCTTCTAGCCAGACCCTATCCCCAATCTGCTCCTGCTCCTGCTCCTGCCTCCTGGAGTGCCCATGCAGCATCGGGTCCCCCAAGCCCCGGCCCAGGCTGGGTGGAAGATGCAGCCGGGTGAAACACTGAAAATGTATTCATTTTTAATTCTTTTTTATATGCATTTATATTTTTGGGCTGCAAAAAACAGTACTGAAAAAAATACGGGTTCCAACTAAAGTAAAAAGTTTGGGAAACACTGATCTAACCAGTTTTCTATCCATCTTACAGTCCATTTATCCAATTCATATTCCCTTAACTTGCTGGCAAGAATATTGTGGGCGACTGTATCAAAAGCTTTGCTAACGCTGGCACTGGGGGCTTTGGGAAGACCAGAAACAACTTAGTTGAATAATCATCAGTTGCTTAATGAATATGCAAATATGCGAATGACAGTTACCGGTCCTCCAAAAGCTCGTGAATGGATTTACTGATCCCTGTGTCAAAAAGTTTGGGAAGCCCTGCTTTACTTGCTTTACCCATAGTGGGCTATCATTGGGCTCATATCTCCCAACTCAGTAAAATAAAAGAAAAAATACGATGCAAAGTTGCTTTAAGGAAATAGCCAAAGGAACCTCCACATCAGTAAAAGTGACAGCAAATCCTCAACAGGGAGAAGTAGTGGAATGTGACTGTCTCATTAGACGTCACCTCATTCTCCAGTCATTGCACTCTGCAGATATCTCAAATAAGACAACAGTAAATTACTTAATTTTACAAAGTTGCTAGCATTCCTAATGTATTATTATGAAATCAGACATAATGGTGTGAAATCATAGGAAAAAACAAATAGTATTCATAAGATGCTTATCCAGCGCCAGAAATGGCTTGTCAGTAAGTCCCTCAGATCAATGTTTGCATTACAATCAACATTGTCCAGTTCCTGCTCAGATTTCCTTACCCTGATATGTAGGCGTTCTGTAATGCAACAGTGTATTTATTTAAACTGAACTGAGGCACATGTGGCTGATCTGGTTTGATATTGCTGTTTGCTAAAGAGGAAATTCTGCAAGAGAAAATAACAGTAAATGTAAACAGTAGTTTAAATGTCAGGAAAACAAAGCAGATATGTGTTCTGCAGTACTAAAATGTATCTATATATAGTGTTCATAGATGGGTGAAATCCTTTTTCCAATTAACTGATAATGATATAGTCATCTGGTTATATACTGGTGCACATAAAAGAAACACTTCAGCTGATATTGGTTGGGGATTTAGAACCATACATCTGGGAGAGTAAGAACTCTTAAGTGACACAGAAAACAAGAACTACTCTTTATATTTTTCTGGTTTTAGTTGCATGGCTCCAATAAGTTAATGGGCATTATATTAATTGGAACTCTAGGCAGAGTAAAATTAAATCTCAAGTTTTCTTAAGTCTTGTACAAGTTAATATTGCAGAAGTTAAGTAATTTGGGAGATTGGAGCCTTAAAGGGCAAGGTTTTCAGGTCAAGGTGCAAATTGTCATATGTCTGTGTAACACATAGGAATGTAAGAATGGCCATACTGTGTTAGACCAATGTTCATGTTGCCCGGTATCCTGTCTTCAGGGAGTGACTATTGCCAGATGCTTCACAGGGAATCAACAGAACAGGGCAATTATTGAGTGACCCACCCTTGTTGTCCACTCCCAGCTTCTGGCTCAGGATGCCCCTTATGTGAAGAAGTACTTTTGTTTGTTTGTTTCAGATCTCCTCGTTATTAATTTCATTTGGGTGACCCCTGATTCTCATACTATGTGAAGGGGTAAATTAAATTTTTTTCTGTATGCCATTCGTGATTTTATAGACCTCTCATATCCACCTATAGTCATCTATTTTCCAAGCTAAAAAGTCCCTGTCTCTTTCTTCTCTCCTCATTATGGAAGCTGTTCCATGCTCCTATTATTTTTTGCCGTCTGTCTCTGCACCTTTTCAATTGTAATGTATTTTTTATATTTATGATGTTTTCTGTCTTATTGTCTATCCCTTTCCTACTGATTCCAAATATTCTACTAGGTTTTTGACTGCCGCTGCACACTGAGCAAATTTTTTCCCAAACTATACACAAAAATTCCAAGATTTCTTTCTGGCACAATGGTGCCCCACTCCTGAATGATGCTACTGTAATATAAAGGTATGATGTTAATCCATTAAAAGGAATGTTCTCTTTAAACTATATTCCAGGATCAGTTATGGATACTTCCCAAACCTCCCGTGGTTTTCCTGTCACTAACTTGTTCTTGTTGATGTTTTTATGAAGCCGCAATATGTGAAATAATCAGTTCTATGACACTGATAATTAAGCTTAATTATAATAACCTAAAATTTATCATAATACACAATTATTTTCTCATAAAGAAATATTTCAGTGGGCATTGAGAAATTATCTTTTTTTTTTTTTTTACCTGGGAGAATAAGATGACTGCTCCCACAGCATTTTGTGAGCAGAAGCTGATTGAAAATGAGCCAGCAGGAGAGGGCTGTCTGACTCAGAGGCTCTTCTGTAGTCTCTCTTCTTCTCTGGTGCTCTCTGTACAACTGAGGTAGTCAGGGAAGCAGCTGCAGACTGCACTGTGCATTTAGTTAAAGTTCTCTGAGAAAGTCTAGGCATTTTGTGAATGTGTGGCGAGTCAATTTCTGAAATACCACCACACCATAGATATTAATCTTAGGAGACAAAAACAAAACCAAAAAAAAAAACACAAACACAAAAACCTAGCTATGAAAATTAACTCTAAATTCTTCCTTCAGGTCTTGGTTCTGATATTTTTCATGGTAGACTGCTCCTGGACCTGGCAGCCTTCAGAAAGATTTTGCTCTTAGTGTGTAGGACAGGTTATTGTACTGGCTGCAATTTTAGTAATGGTAAAACATGCAATCAGACCTATGTTTTTGCTGTACTGGTAACTATTTTTATGCACTGGAACTGTTACAAATAATCAGGATTAATAATATTCACAATATATAAGATAAATGGAATAATATCTAAGGAAGATGATATTCAAGTTCATGTTCGTTACAACTGGGCTCAAATATTATGGAATGTTTCTCTTTGAAAGGAATCAAATACACAGACTATAATTCACAGGCATTTAGTTTGTATTGTTAAGAAATGTCTTACGTAGCCAGTGCTCGGTGGGTGAAATTCATGCCTGTGCAAAGGACCTGCATGAAGTCTATACATCACTGTACTTCCTCTTAAATGCCCAAATTTGGCTTATGTGGTGCATGATTCATACTTTGGCCCAATGCCCTGACATTAATTTAATGCAGAGGCAGGAATTCCAATATAAATTAATGTAGTATTATAATGTGCTTCTTAAATGTAATAGCAATAGTATACGGAATATCTAGCTCCAAAGAAACCCATTACGTTATTCTGTCTGTTTTAAAAAACTTAATTATTTCCCTAACTCCAAACACTAACAAAAATTACAGAAAACTACAGAAGACCCAGAAAAATTTGTAAATGAGACTGTCATTAGTGACTTCCTCATTAAGGACCAGAATCCACCTCTCTCTCTCACCTTGACTTCACAGGACTCTTTCATATGAATAACTGTTCACCAATGTGATCAAGAAGTTCACAGTCTGCCCTTCTACCTGTTTCAATTCACAATATTTTAAAGCCAGCAAGCCACTCTATAAAATTAAGTCTGAAACTGCAGATCAGAAGAGAAAGGACAGGCCTAGAGCTATTTTGTCCATTGTGGTACCTGCTGAAGTCAAAGCAAACTTAACACTATTAAATCCATCACTCATTTTTTTTCTATGGTGACTGACCAAAAGCCATTCGATAGTATTCCAGCCAGTCATCCAGAATATTCTTGATCTTCTGCTGTAGTTTTCTTAATTCTCGGGCTGCACTGAAGTCATTTATAGGGCTTATGGTCTCTTCTGGATTTTTAAGTGTCTTCACCAAGTCTGATAACTTTGGCTTTTTAAATAAAATAGAAAAAACACAGTTAAAAGTTATGTTCTATGTTTGACGCTGCCAAAAAGCGATGAAATAATGTTATAAAATATGAGACCTTTAATCTGAAAGCATATTTTGAAAATAAGTTATTAGGGTGAGGAGATAGACAAGACTCTTTAAAAGCCTCCCATGGTAGGAAGTTAGTAGGCACTAGTAAATGCACCATTTTCTAGTCTGAACCACTACATTGTGTAATCTAGTTTGGCATCATAATACATACTCTTGAGTCCTCTGTTGTAGGATGTGAAAAGAAAACAGCAGACGCTATAAGTTATACCTGAGGCTGTCAAAGCTTGTTTGTCTGGCTACACTGCTGCTAGTCCCCCTTCTTTCTCTGTCCATTGTTCAAGGACCTCCCTTTTGGTTTTATGATTATTGTGTATTGTGCAGGAGGAGGCATTATAATGGCTTGATTACTCACTGAATTAACGTAAGTCTGCAGCTATTTGCATTTGGCTCTCAGCCTCCCAAAAGCGCGTACACCCTCTATTTTACACCTGCTGTACCCATTCACATCTCTCTGGGTATTTTTAATCTGAGAGTGGATTAGTTAGACATAACAAGG